GCCTCAGCCTTCTCCCCCTTCTCAAACTCTGCTCCAACCCTGTGAGTAAGTTTTATGCAATTTCTATTTCTGACCTTCCTTCTTCTAACTATAGCAATCGGCCTAGCTCACACCCTATTCCCCTTGCTAATGGACAACTTCTCTGGTTTCCAAACCACTCTGTGGATGCATAATTTAAAGCAAGGAAATAGTCCTGCCCCTGAGGGGTACGGAATTCTCCAGATCTGTAACTATCTTTGGTCTTCCTCAAATAATCGTCTTCTTCAGATCACTCATTCCTCTGCTCACAAATCCTCCATGGCTTCTACTCTTTAATAAGATTAGCCTCTAGCTACACTGTCACAGCTTCACAACCTACCTCATCCTGGCCAAACTACTTCCTGCTGCAACAGACTGAGTATCTGTGTCCCTGCAAAGTTCCTATGTTAAAACCTGACCCTCAACGTGATGGGTTTAGGAGGTGGGGTCTTTGGGAGGTGATTAGGTCACAAAGGTGAAAGTCTCAGGAATGGGCTGAGTGCCCCTGCACAGGAGACCTCGGACAGCTCCCTCCCCCTTCCTGCCATGTGAGGGCACAGCCAGAAGAGAACATCTGTGAACGAGGAAGCAGGTCAGCAGACGCTGGACCTGCCTGCATCTTCACGGTGGATTTCCCAGCCTCCAGAACTATGAGAAATAAATCTGTGTTGTTTATAAGCCCCCCAGTTGACAGTATTTTTATAGTAGCCCAAACAGACTCAAATATCAGACTTCTACTCTGTTCAAAACCCTCCAATTTGACAGGAGGAAATTGTTCCCTTTGCCTCTTACTCGCGCTGACCCTCCTGCAGAGCGCCCCCTGCCTTCACTTTCTCTGATTTCCACTTACACTTTAAGACCAAGCTCAAAACTGTCCTTACCCAGTGAGTTTTCCTCTCCTTCAGTTCCAACACTCCCTGTTCTCATTACTCATTAGGCACCTTACACTTCATGGACACTGAAAGCTCTTGGCACTAGAGGAAAGTTAGATTCAAGAAGGCCCAGCAAAAGTGAAGGAAGAGAAAACTGGAGAAGGCAACTTTCCTCTTTTCTTCCCCTCTCCTCACTCTACCCCACAGAAGCTATTTACTGATGTAAAGTAAGCAAGAGAAGGGTCCCTTTCACCGCTCCCCTGCCTTCTCTCAAGCCTCGGCTTGAAGCCCCATCTTCTTGCTCATGGAGACAACTCAGTTCAAAGCCATGCCTGAGCACCCCAGTCGTGGTGCGAATGTGGTCTCGATGTGTACCCAACACGCATCGGATTTTTGCTGTTGTGGAATCTGCCATCAAACAGATCTGGGGCTGGACCCACAGCCTGCTCCTCGTGACCCTGTCTACCTGAAGAGGGACACCACCTCTCAACGTCTAAGCCTCCCTACCTACAAAATAGGGTTAATAGTCAAACACAGCTCACAGGGATTTCCTGAGGACTAACTGAAATTAAGATGATTTATATTAAGCACCTAATATGTTGCCTGGCGTACAATAGAGGCTCAATAAATGTTGAGTGTGGTAATATTAGAGTCTCTTGGGTATTTGTCTCTCTCACTCACAGGAGCCCCATTAGGCTACAGTTAGTGAGTCTTAACTCCCACTCAGCACAAGTGCCCTGCCTACAGCTTTCAACAGACATTTTTAAACCGAATAATCGGCATATTTGCTTCTCCCAAGAATGTATGCATCTCAAGATACAAACTTTTTTTTTTAAAGTAGGCATCATGTCCAGTCTGGAGCCCAATGTCTGGCTTGAACTCACAACCCTGAGATCAAACCCTGAGCTGACGTCAAGAGCTGGACATTTAACCGACTGAACCACCCAGGTGCCCCCTCAAGATACAAACTCTTAATGACAACTGAAACCTAGCATGTGCTCAAATAATTGTGGATGAACAAACGGAGGAAAGTATTACTTGAGCAGAGGCTTCTACTACTCTAGGGACTCATCCTATCTTACAGCCTGAGGGAACTGCACAGAATGAAGACACAGAAGACCACTCAGCCATACCCGCACGGAGCTCTGTGCGATCTTGCTGAGAAACAGAGCTATTACGGTGAGAAAAGGTGCCAGCTGGTACAGGGATTATCTGAATCCTCAAGTGGGAAACTCCCTGTCTCCTGACCTGGCTGTTAAGTTCTTTAAGGCCGAGAGCCCCGACACACACGCTCCCCCTCCTCGTCGTCCTGGCAAAGCGCTGGTGCACAGACCGTGCTGAAATATCTGTCTGACCTACACTCCATGCAGCCACTTCTTACAGCTCCTTCTGCTGAACCCATTTACTCCCAAATTTCCCACAGAGATATCCAAAAAACTCAGGATGCCAAATAAGGGGAGGTAGGAAGTTAAAGGAGATCCTGCGAAAGACAAAACCAGTTAAGAAATGATTACGGGTGCCTGGCTGGCTCAATCAGTAAAGCGAGCGACCCTTGATCTCAGGGTTGTGAGTTCAAGTGCCACGTTTGGGGCATAGTTTACTTACTTACTTAAAAAAAAAAAAAAAAAAAAAAAAAAAAAAAAAAAAAAGATTACAAAAATAAACCTGTGACAACAGACACACACAGAGCTTGGCAAGTGACGTTAACCCCCGGGCTGGTCAGGTGGCAGCCTGGAGGACTACTGCCATCTTTACCGGGGTTAAAGCAGAGTCTCCCCTTCTCCCTGTGTCAGGTCAGAATGTCGGACAGATGGACAAAGACAGAGACGTCACCTGAGTCAACAAAGGCTTTCACAGGATGTCCATTCACTTTGCAATTAATATAAAGCATCACCACTTGGCCAAAACTTTCAGGAGCCTCTTCCATAGCTATTGTCATGTTTTCCTCGATGTTCTGTTGCCTGCAACAAACCAAGTAGAGCGAAATCATCATCTGTTTCAGAAGTCACAGTATTAAACACAGACGGGGCTTTCTCTTCCACGAGTGGCAGACGCAGAGACACAGATCTTTGTGAAGACCCTGATGGGCGAGACCACCACCCTTGAGGTTGAGCCCAGTGACACCAGTGAGAATGTCTAGGCTACGATCCGAGACCAGGAGGGCATCTCGCCTGAGCAGCGGCTTCTGATTTCTGTGGGCAAACAGCTGGAGGATGGCTACAATACCCAGGAAGGGTCCGCCCGGTGCTTGGTGCTTGGTGCTTGGCCGGGGGGTGGCACCCTCCAGCCTTCCCTCCGCCAGCCGGCCCAGAAATACAACTGCAACAAGATACCTGCCGTGAGAGCTCTGCTCGCCTGCACCCCTGCGCTGCCAACTGCAACAAGAAGTGTGGTCACAGCAATGACCTGCGCCCCAAGAGGAAGGTCAGATAAGGCCCTTCCAGCGGCTCTTTGCCTGCGGGACGGCCCCCTGCCCGAACCCCAGAGCCTGTGTGCCTCAATGAAGTCTCCTTTTCACGGACTGAAAAAAAGAAACCACACACCAGATGTGTCCGTACCTTTTGCCCCTATTATAGCAGCTGAGCCCTGGAAGTGGACATTGGACTCTCCCCTGCAGCAGGTGAGGTAGTGAGATACAGCTGGCAGAAAATCTAAAGGCACACAAATTACTTCCACATCAAACAGTTCTGCACCCTTTACAAGCTCAGATACGGGAAACTGAATCTCGGGAGAGTAAGAGTCAAAATTTTTTAATTCTGTAGAATGTCAGAATCTCGTGAATGCTTCCGTTTTCACGGGGATTTACTGGGCATCTGGGTATGCGTCCTGTGTCCAGTGCGTTGAAGACGGTTGGCAAAGGTGAAACACAGAGGTTTCTTTTTTTTTTTTTTAATGTTTATTTATTTTTGAGAGGGAAAGAGACAGAGTGCAAGCAGAGGAGGGGCAGAGAGGGAGACAGAATCTGAAGCAGGCTCCAGGCTCTGAGCTGTCAGCACAGAGCCTGACGCGGGGCTTGAACCCACGAACTGTGAGATCATGGCCTGAGCCGAAGTCAGACGCTTAACTAACTGAGCCACCCAGGTGCCCCCCAAAACACAGAGGTTTCAACTGCCCTGCTGCACCCGCTGCTTCACCTCCAAGACTGGGTTTTCTACCTGTAAACCAGGGAGCGGACTCCTACTCCAGGACTGCTAAGAGGGATACGGCATCTACCACACAATGTTACCAAAAGAGCAGATGCTGGGAAAACGCACACACCTCTTTAGGAAAAACCACACACACACACACACACACACACACACACACACACACACACACACACACACTTGACTTGGTCCAGCACACCACACCCACACCCACACCCACACACACACACACACACAGTTGACTTGGTCCAGCAAACCATTTCTTCAAACATTAGACAGATTCTAATTCTTAAACGAGAAAGGGATGTAAAAGGGAGTTCCAGCTTACTTCTACATCTCCTGTCTCCGTTCCCAACCTCCTTTTAAAAACATCACCAAACACTACCAACATTAATGGAAACGAGGGCAGGCGCTGGGCGACGCACCCGAAGACTGAGATACTAACAGAACAGGGCCCAAGATTGGGGAGAAATTATAACCGCAGGCGAGGGGCTAGCACATTACAGGCCGCCACCTGCGAACTTCCACGGGAGCGCAGCCACACCACTCAGTTCCATCCTGTGGGGTCATCTATGGTCGCTCTGATACCGCGCTGGCGGACGGGAGTGCTGGTGGCGGAGACAGCACGGCCTGCGAACCCTATGATCTTCACGGTCCGGCTCTCTGTGGACGAAGTTTGCGGAGCCCTGTTCTAAAGTGCGGTGCCTGTCCTTGTCGCGGTAATACTCCACCTCAAATGAACTGCTGGTTTTAGGAGTCATTCTGCAAAATGCATGAAACTTCTCAGGAAGTCCAAGGCACCCTCGTTTAATTTAGTTGGGGAAACGTGAGCTATTATACTCCAATGTATACATGCGCTGAGGAATCGCTGGTGCAACATACCAAATAAAACCTCAAAAGGCACCTGACAGAACTACACAGCTTTTCTCTTTTGTCACATTATTAAATTTAGAGACGAACTAAAATTAGTTGTATATTCCTGACCTTGCGTTGACTCCAACCAAGATAAATTTCAGCAAAAAATCTTCTGAGATAATACCGGTTGCTTTGGCTATTCGGAGTCTCTTCAGAGGCACAAGGTCTTCTTGAAAAG